CTCTCTCTCTCTCTCTCTCTCTCTCTCTCTGTATGTCTCTCTCTATTTCTCTTTCTTTGCCTCTCTCTCTCTCTTTCTCTCTCTCTTTCTCTCTCTTTGAAAGTGTTTATATATGTATGCATATGTGTATAGAGGATTCTGACTCAAATGACCTTTAAAGCCTCTTATAAATTAAAACTTTTACAAAAAAACTGTAACAATATGTTAAGTATATTGGGCATTGACAAGCAGGTCTTTAAATCGTATCCTCATAAGAGTAAAGTATCTATAATATCGTTGGTATAGCAAATCTTATAACGACAATAATTGCTCCCCAGAGACATCTCCAACAACAGGCTGCAGACAATCGGCAAGAGCGTCTTCTATGGAATGCCACAACTTTCGCTGCTGTAAGTCCGCGTAGGTCAGAGGCGGGTCACACTCAACCGCTGAGGGGTACGCGCTCAGATTACGCGTAACTCCCTTTGAGCCACACCGGACTGAACCGGCCTTCCCTTCATTTTGCCATTCGGGCTTTTACCGGCCTGACCCACCTACAAGTTTAGAAATAAGTACATTCCACTTTAAGTTTAGATGCCGACGTTTCAGGTCTTTGTATATGAAATTTCATTGAAATACGTACGTCGCTTAGATCAGAAACAAAAGCAACTTCTTTGCTACACCCCCCGAACCACTAGGGAAAAAATGAAATAATTCAAGCCCCCTTTCAAATAATATTAGTTAAACCATTTTCCTTCAAATGCAAAGACACGTTCATGTTTTAATGTTTAATGTTTTCATCATTCTTTCTTTCTATTTAGACTAACTGACGAATTCAGATTTTAATACAACAAAACATCATGTCTCTATTGCTCTCAAGACAAACGGACGAATTCAGATTTTGTTATGCTACGCCACAAGTGTTTTCTCACCTCACCAACTGACGAATTCAAGGTTTTCTACAGATAATTATTACGTTACCCCTATCTGCTCTTCAGACTGACAGACGAGTTCCGCTTCTGCTGCCTAGCCCATGATGTAGGCCAGTGCTACCCAGAGGCGGACGAATTCTCTTCCTGTGAGGACCTCATGTCCAACCACGTCCTCCGTGTAGCCATCTGGCTCCTGGGTCTGGTGGCCACCTTCGGCAACGCCCTGGTCATCTTTTGGCGCTCACGGGAGGTCCGGGGAAGGAAGGTCTGGGTTTACTTGTTGTTGAGGTCCAAATGTCTGTCTGTGTGCCTGTGCGTCTGTGTGTCTGTGTGTATGTCTGTTTGGCTGGCTGGCTGGCTGGCAAGATATCTATCTATCTATCTATCTATCTATCTATCTATCTATCTATCTATCTATCTATCTATCTATCTATCTATCTAACTTTACTTGTTTTGAGGTCTGTCTTTCTTACTAGCTGGCTGGAAACCTCTGTCTCTCTGTCTCTCTCTCTCTCTCTCTCCGTAAATCTCTCTCTTTCTCTCTCTCTCTCTCTCTCTCTCTCTCTCTCTCTATCTATCTATCTATCTATCTATCTATCTCTCTCTCTGAGACACCCCCCTCTCTCTCTCTCTCAGACTCTCTCTCTCTTTTTCTCTCTCTGTCTAGGGTGCTATTTCCCTCCATCTCTCTCACCCTCCTCTCTCCTCATTATAACAACATATCGTCGCCTCAGAACATTTTGTCCAAAGTGTACACAAGTAAAGAGGCATTTTCAACAAAATAGTTCTGATGCAAGGATATATTGCAAAACATCTACAGTCTACAATCCACAATAGACAACCTACAGTCTACGATCTACAATCTACAATCTACAATAAACAATCGACATACTGTAATCTACAATCTGCAATTTACACTACAATCTACAATCTGCAGTCTACTATCTGCAACCTACAATCTACAATCAACAACCTAAACCTACAACCTTCAATCCACAACCTACAATCTGCAATCATCCCAACCCCTACCACAGGTCCACTCTATCCTGACCACAAACCTTGCACTGGGTTACTTATAAGCTGCAATCTACAATCTACAATCTTCAATCCACAATCTACAATCAACAATCCCCACCACCCGTACCACAGGTCCACTCAATTCTGATCACCAACCTTGCCCTCGGCGACCTACTGATGGGTGTGTACCTCCTGATGATCGCCTCTGTGGACTCACACTACCGCGGCGTCTACATGCTGCATGACCTCTCGTGGCGGCACTCCGCGCTCTGTCAGTTCGCGGGCTTCCTCTCCACGTTTTCCTCAGGTACAGCAACAATCGTTGGTGGAGAAATTGAAAAAATAATAATAATAATGATATGATGATGATGATGATGATGATGATGATGATGATGATGATGATGATGATGATGATGATGATGATGATGATGATGATGATGATGATCAAAGTTTCCTATCAACTAACCATGTTTAATGTGGCCTACCCACATACCTGGCATTATGCAGTTGCGAGCGCAGTATGACACTTACCAAAAAGAAAGAAAAGGAAGAAGAAGAATAAAAAGAAGAAGAATATAATACAGTATTTACTAAAAATGTGCTAAATATTTCAGAGATATCAGTGTTCATTGCAAAGTGTTTTTTAATTTGTTAGATCACTTCCAGTCACCAGTGTTCCCTGTAAACAGCATTCGGAGTTACAAATGTTCACTGTCAGATGTTCTTTTCTTTCTGCTAGAGTTGTCGGTGCTGACGCTGACTGTGATCACGATCGACCGTCTCGTCTGCATTATTTTCCCGCTCAGACTGACCAGACTGAGTGTGCGTGACGCCGCAGTGGCCATGACGCTGGTCTGGTTACTTGTCTTTTTCATCTCGGCCTTACCTCTCATGGACATTGGGTATTTTCTGGTGAGACTTGTTACGTACTTTTTTGTATAGCTATCTATCTATCTATCTATCTATCTATCTATCTATCTATCTATCCATCTATCCATCTATCTATCTATCTATCT